ATATATATATATATATATATATATATATTCTCTTCCCTTAGTCCAAAGTGACGGCTACAAATGGCAAAGCTACTCTTTGATCTCCTCTGTTCTCTGTTAGTTTCCATCTCTGACGGCGGATTCCAACACTGATGGAGACGCAACCTCGTTCCCTTCGCCCTAACCCGTTCCATCCTACTTCGTAGAGTTTCTTCTTCTTCCGCACCAGTGTTGCTTCTCTTTAATCTTCTGCAAATCTGTGGCGATGATTAATAAAGAAGAGATCGTGGAGACGTAGTTTCAAGATCCAATCTTTTTTGCGCCAAGAAGCGCGGCGGAGCGGCGCCGTGAGGAATTCGGACGAGATTTTGGAAGAACGTCTCAGCGAGAGCAGCACGGCAGCGATTGGATGAGAAGCTCGTGGAGGAAGGCAAAGAGGGCGCTTGGGATGAGCCTTTGCGTCTTCGTCCCCACGGCTGCCGATGACGACGACGATGGTAGTGGTGCTTCCCGTCCGGACGGAGAGCAGGAAGTGAAAGCGCCGTTTTATGGGGGACGCCTTCTCCGGGCTGGTCGGCGAGGACGTCGGACTCACCTGTTCTGATGCCCGCAACGCCGACGCCATCCACCGGCGGCCTCCGGCTTTTCAGATCCGGTAGCAATGCGCCAATGGTTCGCCCTGTTCTCTCCTTACAGCATTTTGTTCTTTATCGATTTGTGACGCACTTGTTGTTCGTGAGATCTCTTGCGATTTCACGATTTTTCTTCCTTTGTGGTGGCAAGTAATAAAAAGGATAATAATTTTCTAGTACGAGATCCTATTTTATCCCAAATAGGCTTTTCGTTGGTTTCTTTCTTTTCCTTCTCTCTTCTTTCACATCAGCAAGTTGGCGTCGCTGTTTTGGTCCACTTCCGCTCATCTTCTTATCCTCAATCGTTTCTTTTCAATGGGATAACCTGTTGTGGTCCAACGCAGTTGTCCTCATTGGAAAGGGCGCAATCTTCTGATTTCCTCTGTTTTCTTCATTCTTGAAAGGGGAAGTTCTTTCTCAATTCATGTGAAGGCGTGAAAGAGTTCGTTCCTTTTTGTTGTTTTCCTATTTAAATTCAAGGCTGCTGACCAAATTTGGCCGATGTTGCGAGGCTTTACTTCCATGCCGCTTATAGTAAAGGATGCCACCAATGGTTCCTCCACCTGTTTTGACGGATAAATTAATCGAGCATAGTTAGTCTTCCAAGAATTAGAGCAAGTATTATTTCTGGATTTGAAATGAATGAAAATAAACTACAATTATATCAGGATTTTGTGGTTTGAGTAGCCGTCTGTTCTTGAGGACCGTAGAATGCGTCCCTTCTAAATGAGTTACTCCAAATGCTATAATTTTGTTGCATTTCTACTGTATTGTCGAAGCTTGCTACAAAGGCCTAAGACAAAAGAAGGATTGTTGTGTATAATGCTTGTTAACTTGTTATGGAACTTTTGCACTGGAAAAAGAACCTTCTTCGAGACTATGTTGGATTTCTGTTGTGCCAATATGCAGTTTTGATGCTAGTCCTAGGAATTAGGTTATCATTGTGAATATGGTTCTTGCTGATCAAACTTGTCCTTGGAGTTAGGTTATTAGCTTGCTGTCCATTATATGATCAGGATGCCACATACTACAGTCTAAGATCAGAGCTGCAACCTATTTATTCTAGTGCAACTTTTATATGGAAATTTCAACATGGACTTGCCTGCTTGTGTGCTGCTAAATGCAAAAGGGCCTGTGAAAACAAACCTTTTTATCTGATAATAAAAATTTTATTTTCCTTTTAGTCCCGGGCATCTTTTAGGTAGTGAGCAAGGACATAGTGTTATCCTAAATCTACGTTTCCAAATTTTGAAGTTGCCATCTTATCGTTTGGTGATCTCGTGAAGAGTCTGGAAACATTTCCTTCTTGCCTTGCTCATTAAAATTTGGCACAAGTCATTGTGGACCTGTCAAGGTAAAGCACCATTATCATAACAGTTTGATATTCTTCCTGAATTAGGTAATGAATAGCTTTCCTGTGGATATCATTGACCACTCACTGATAGAAGCTCTTATTTACCTGGTTGCCCTTTGTTTTGAGCGATTTTGAATATTTGGTATTAATATTTTTTATTAATACCATAAATACAACAAACTTGTTCTCAAGGTATCGACAATTGTACAGGGTAAAAGCTTTAGAACTTGCATTAATATTTTTTATGCATTGTTGGCATGAAATATACTAGTTTGTTGTATTTTTCCAGTACTTGTCAGATATTCTGCTGATCAATTTTCGTTTTCAGAAGACATGTAGCATATGTCTCGGTACCATGAAAGCAGGGAATGGTCATGCACTCTTCACTGCTGAATGCTCTCACACATTTCACTTCCCTTGTATTGTTTTCAATGTGAAATATGGCAATTATGTCTGCCCAGTTTGCAGGGCTAGGTGGAAGGAAATACCCTTCCAAGCTCCTCTTTCCTCTGAACATCCTCGTATAAGAACGAGAGTGGACACAGTCAATTGGTCACAGGAAGATGACCATATGATGGTTCTGCGCATGCTTCATCGTGCAGACTCCAGTAACCGACAGCATCATCAAGTTTCTCACTTCCATGCTTCTGAACCAAGCTCTTTCGATGATGTCAAGCCTCCACACTTGCAATCTGAAACAGCAGCAACTGCCTAGCATGGTTGTGCCAAAACAACATATCCAGAATTTTTAGCCATTCCACAATCAGCTTCCAAGGAGAATTTCACCGTGCTGATACATTTGAAGGCCCCTCATGCTGGCACAGAGTATAGTTTTGGCAGGAACCTCGATAATAACTTTGCAGCTCCGCAAACATCTCGTGCTCCTGTAGACCTGGTCAGTGTACTTGATGTTAGTGGTAGCATGTCAGGCACAAAGCTAGCACTTTTGAAGCATGTCATGGGTTTTGTGATCCAAAATTTTGGTCCACTTGGTTGATCCCTTCTCATCAACTGCACGTCAGCTCTTCCACCTCCGGCAAATGTTGGACTCTGGCAGGCAGCAGGCACTGGAAGCTGTCAATTCATTAGTGTCTAGTGGTGGCACAAATATTGCAGAAGGCCTTCGGAAAGGTGCCAAAGTGACTGAGGATCGCAAGGAGCATAACCCTGTCTGCAGCATCATCCTTCTCTCTGATGGGCAGGACACTTACACTCTGACCTCGAGTTTCAGCGGAAATGAGTCGCAGCCAGATTATGGATCGCTTGTTCCATCCTCCATTCTTGGTGATGTAGCCCACCAGATACCAGTTCATGCTTTTGGTTTTGGTTCAGACCATGACTCCACCGCAATGCACTCAATCTCTGAGATCTCTGGTGGGACCTTTTCTTTTATCGAATCTGAAGTCGTGATTCAAGATGCATTTGTACAGTGCATTGGCGGTCTCCTGAGTGTTGTCATGAAAGAGATGCTGATGATGGTACAGTGTGTGGATCCTGGTGTGCAACTTGCTCCGATCAAATCAGGCAGCTATGCAAATAGGCTGACAGATGATTCACGGTCTGGAACTATCATTGTGGGCGACCTTTATGCTGATGAAGCGAAGCTATCAATGTCCCACCTGCCTACCAAGATGTTGTGCTGCTTAAGGTGCGATGTACCTATAGAGACGTGGTCTGCAAAGAAACCACTAATCTGGAGGATGAAGTAAGGAAAGGATACAAAGGCCAGATTTCGTTGCAGCTTACACGGTGTCAGTTGAGGTTGACAAAGAGAGGAACCGTGTCCAGGCTTCTGAGGCAATGGAAGATGCAAGAGCCGCTGCTGAGCGTGGTGCTCTCTCCGAGGCAGCGTCAATACTCGATGAGCAGAGGAGGAGACTATGTGAAAACCTCTCTGGACAGTCTGATGACCAACTTTGCTTGTCTTTAGATGCTGAGCTAAGGGAGATGCAAGAGAGGATGGCGAGCCAACGGAGGTACAAATTATCAGGCCGTGCATATCTGCTTTCAGGACTCAGCTCACATTCACAGCAGAGAGCAACGGCATGCGGAGACCCAATAGACGGTGGTAGCCTTGTCCGTGCCTATCGGACCCCTTCGATGGTTAACATGCTACATCGTTCACAGACATTTTCCCCTTCCCTCAGGATTCCCAGTCTGCCTATCCAACGTGCAAGGTCATTCTCTACGTGACCTCAGCCGAGGTGAAAACCAAGGGTGAAACTGTCTCTTGCTGATGTAACTTTCTAATACCTGTCCTTTTTCTTCTTTGCTGAAATGAGGTGGTTGATTTGGAGAAATTGAAGGAGAGAGATTCAGGAGAAGATTGGTGGGATGCGCTCTGATGGTGCGAATCAATAAAATCTGGAAAGGCGGATAAAGTCGCAGAATGGGTGTAAAGTTATTGTGGCTTCCAGTGTGGAAGAAGGTGTATGCTCTTCCTTTTCTTCTTTTGCTACCGCTTTTGAATATGTATATATTAGAAGGTTTTCCCTCAAAAGGAGTGGCATAAGATTGTAATCTTTGGAAAAACGTGGGGCTGTATTCTTTCTTCTCTTCGATTAATATACGTAATTTCTGAATTGATTCTTCTGAGAAAATGTTTTTGGTTTGGAAAGTCTTTTGGTGTTATGTCTGCGTGCCTCGATATCACATGTAGACTGCAAGTTCTTCTTTTTGCGCGTACAAGCTTTTGCACCTACAAAAGGAAGGAGCCACACTCGTCACAGATCTTCCCAAACCAAGAGTTGCCAATTCGATATTTATGATTATTCTGCTACAAACAAGCATGTCGGACGTTTCAGAAATCCATGGCTTCGATGCATGGATTCCTTCACGTCCACCGGTCCATGAAACACACACATAAACAGCATATATAGCTCCCAAGCCGATCGACGACACATTTTACTGCAAATTATTGTGGCCTAAACTGCTGCATCCACGGATAAGATGGTGCTCAAGTTCATGGGGTTCATGAACTCGGTGCTGCCAGTCATCATATGGCTCACCACGATCCTGCAGGCTCTCTCCGTGGGATGGTACGGATCCCAGAAGGCATACTTATCTCGATCCGGACAAAGGTTCGATGCTGCATTGCATAGCCCGATGCCATTGTAAGGTCCTTGTCCGCAGCATGCAATCTTCGACGTCGTAAAACCTGCACAGATTTGGTGGCAGACATGATCATGCTCGTGTGGTGTGGAAGGTGACAGCAGAAGTCCATCGTATTATTTACCGAATGCTTGTGGATTTGCCACATAGTTCATGTGCATCCCGAAGGCGTTGGCTGAGACGAAGACATCCGAACCAATCTTACTGTTGAGCCTGTTTAAGATCTGGACCAACTGCGGGTTGAACAGGCCTGCAGCTCTTTGGAGCTCAGAATCACACTGGCCGTTCCGACCTCTCAGGGCAAGCTCAGCCGGGACGCAGCCGAGCGGCCCGGTCCCGGTGACGATAACTCGACGGGCTCCGAGGTCATATAACCTCTAAAAGAATTGGGAACAGAAAACAGCGATGAGCAAAAGCTGGAGAACCGAGAGTTCCTAGTCATGTTCTGGACTGGAACATCCATGCATCAGCATGGAGGAAAGAATCGAATGTTTGAGAGAATGCTCTACCTGGAGAATCTTGTAGTACTCGGATATCAGGTAGCGCACGTAGTCAGGCAGCGCGAACTGGCGAGATCTGAAAGAATAAGGGATCAAGTAGTAGTTGTTGACGAAGTCATTGCCGCCGAGGGTGATCAGAACTAGGGCTTGGTTGACACGCATCTCTGCCTGAGATGCTCCTATCAGATCGCTTAGTTTCTTCTGGTACTCCTCAAAGTATTGCAGCTGCCTGTTGATCCTGATGATGTTCACCTGTAGGCACAAACCGAAGATTCATCGGTCTTCATAGGGAGAAGCAAAGAAAAAGACGATGTTGTGGCCATCGATTCAGCTTACAAATTGGATTCCCGTGTCGTTTAGAATTCCAATCCCTGCCGACGCAAAGTTGGCTCCGACAAGCAGCTTTTCCCCTCGGAGCTCGGGACTGAGGTAAGGCAATGTGGTCTCCGCTCCGAGCTGTTCACCTGAGAAATATTATGCATCTCGGTTCTTAGAATGCTTGGAGAAGGAATTATGCGTGATGATGTGCTTGGTTTTGTATATTGCAATTTGCGACACCCAACTCATAATGTCAGGTATATTGCGACCATTGGAGAATCTCCCGGAGGGCCGGTGACTGGGAGTATCGATGCCGTAAGGAGGTGCGTCAGCCCGAGCGGTGGTGGCCAAATAGTTGTTGTTCCCGTTGTCCACCAGAGAATCGCCGAAGACGAAGAAGGCACGTGCCGCCTCCGAAGGAGAAGAGCAGCCGCCGAGAACCGCTAAGATGGTGACAACAACAGCAGAGAAGATGGCAGACGGCGTCTCGGCCATGACTCCGGGAGCCACAATGACTCGAGAATGTGATGGAGAGAGACATGCACACCATGGCCAAAGGTGGTGGGCTTGTATATAAGCTCGGCTCCGCCATAACTCACCTGCGTCTTCCACCTGTTTTGCATGAAGAAGGTGAGAAGGAGGACCACCGAATTAATTCAAAGGCAAATCGGTAGCCATGACGGTGGTTGCCTCTCTCGGCAATGCCTTCCTTTACACCTGTTTGCTTTATCTGCTCACAGGAGCTCTCCCTCACTTTCAGAAAAAGTATGGGTGTTGGATCAGTCGCAAGCAGCAGCATCGCAATATTCATGATTCTGAGCTGCCCCTCCATTATGCTTGTGAAAAGATTTACGTTCATCAAGTTCATCAAATCATTGTGAAAATGTTCGACTTACTGCTCCTCGGAGCACTTTTCACTATACGGTATACAACCCATGAACCTCAGCAGCATTGATGAGGATGTGGTAAAGGGATGGCATGACAAGGTTCGTAACATGTGAAATGAGTTAAGTTGGTGAGTAGATTCGCAGAAGCATTCAGATTGTTAACCGTATCGACCACCCAATGCACCGAAGCTTCACAGGAAAAGCAGCAGCACACATATCGAAAGGAGTGCAAGTGGTCTCCGATGATTCTTCCCTACAGGTAAATTCTACTTGAACTTTGATCCTCTGTTTCCACACAAGAAGAAGAAGAAGAAGAAGGCAAACAAGAACACATATCCGCACATCTCAGATTTTGGCTATGCATTACTTCTGGTCTCACCTGTAAATCTGCACTGCATTCAAGTCTCCTGTAATGGGTGAGACTTCGTGATGCTCATGTTAGTGATTCAGGCACAACAGGGTTTAAGATCACTTTCTCTTTTCCTCTCCATTTCATGATCTATCTAACCAGCGGAAGACTGCTTTTCGAATCATAATGACTCATTGGTAGTGGTTAAAGTCGGTCTTCCTCTGCCCGGATTAAGATTTAGAAAGGAGTGACAAAGTGGAATATCGCTGTTGCAATTATGAAGCTGCAAAAATAGATGCAAATCCCAAATATGGTGCATTCTTTGGCATCATTGCTGCTCATAAGAAGCTGTGCAAGTCGCAGTGTCAGATGGGGTGAAAGCGATGCAACTTCATTGCACATTCTTATCGAGAAATTTAATTACGCTAATCTAACAATAAATTCACCTCCTTTTCAATCAAGGCTGTATCAGTCATCTATTCATCATGATGTTTTTTACCTTCACCTCTTCATTTTGTCATTGGCTTCCACTTGCAGAAATGTCTCCTCGTGACATAAGAAAACTGATTGCCGACAGAAATATCTACCGAATGCAGATGATGCCCGAGTCCATTCCGAGACCCAAAGGATGAAACCTTGCGCTCGATAGCGGAAAATTCTTTACGGTTCGGAAAATTCGCAACGATGACGACACCGTGTGAGAAGTCTTTAGCTCTCCAATTGGGAACTCTAACGTAAGGTAGTGATATAATCCAGATGGAAAACAATGATTTATGCATGAAGTGGCTTCCTTGTTCACTTTAAACATTGGTCCTTTTTGTTTGGCCTGATGCATTGTGCAAGCAGAAGTTAATGTGTGATCTTCTCGAAGCCACTGATGGAGCTTAAGAGCACAAAATATACACACATGCAACCATGAACCTTTGCATCTCACTGGCGGCGGCGGCGGCGGCGGCTTGGCAGCTTCCGTCTTTGTCGCTTCTGCCGGCGGCGGTGCCGACGCCTCTTCGGTTCGAACCACCAGTTTTCTACTGGACCTGGAGAAGATGACGAGGCCGGCGGCACGTGAGGGTGTGTTGGTGGCAGCAGTCGTAGGAAGACTGGAGGTGAGCACGAAGCTTGAAGCTACCCAAACCAAGCTGGAGGTTGCCATGATCCAACAAAAGGAAACTCTCTCTCTCTCTCTCTCTCTCTCTCTGTGTGTGTGCAAAATTTTGTCCACCGTGGAACTGAGGAGGATTTGATTCCCTCCACTAGGATCGTGACGTGTGGCACGCTATCCAATCAATGTGGATAACATGGTAAAATAATTTCCACGTTTTATGTATGCATATAAATATATATATAGTGTTTAAATTAGGTACTATGTTTTAACAACGGGATTGATAGTAAAGAGAGAAAGAGGGATGTATGGGCAACACATCATATGTAATATAAAGAAGTGGGGATTGCAAGGTGGACACTCCTTTGGGAATGCCGGACAGAGAGAGAGAGTGTGTGTGTGTGTTGTGTGTCTCCAAGTACACCCTCAAAGCTTTCCACTCCCTCACAAGCCCAACCCGTGGAGCTCATAGATGATGAACATATGAACATAGCAAACGAGAGGCTTGTGGATCTAAACGTTTCACATAAATCGCATAGGTCTCAATCTTGCCTATGAACGAGTTTGTGAGAGAGTAATTGTGTATTAGGAGTGTCATCCAATACAACCAATGATCCTCCTCAGACCCCACTCACACAGACTGACATCCCAAAGTGTGTTGGTGCCACGCACCTTCCAAGAGTGACAACAAAAGCATAAGCATCAACCTGGCACCAGCCAACTTTCTGACATGACCCGCCCCTTGTCGTCCTCTCTCCCATCTGCAACTGCGACTATCACTGCTGCGACTACTTCCCTAAATTTCAAGCGAGCACCACACAATCACCAGAAGCCTTGGCATCCATGCTCCTGTCGGCTCCAGAGGACAGTGAGAAGAGAACCACCACTGTGTGCTCCTGCTATGCTCCAATTAAGAGACAGCACAGCAAGAGCTGTGAGGGAAGTGAGAGCAAGAGGGTCATTACCCCCATGAAGGGCCATGCCAATGGCCAAGGTCCACCTGCTGACCCAAACCTACCACCCCCTCCTCCCCCACCTCTTCCTCCCCCTTTGAAGAGTAATCTCAAGAAGCCAACTACGGTTGGAGAGCACCAGATGATGATGATGAGGGATGAGAGGAGGAAAGTAAGCTGGCCTGATGCTCATGGCAGAGACCTTGCCCATGTCCAAGTGTTCCACTCGAGGTTCAAGTGTTTGTTGTTTACACCATCTCACAGTTAGGGTAGATGTGTAGTCTGATGCATGTTTTGGGATCCACAGTGTGGTGGAAGAAGGGGAGTTTGCAGCGGCAGGGAAGTCCTGCGTTTGTACCATCCAGTGAAGCAGATCATCAGTGGAGGTATCTGTTCCTGCAACTCTGCGTGCTACTCTTATAGGTAGATTTGTACCAAATGAAATCAGTATAAGTTGGCCTTAGAACTCACCAAAATAGGTGCCTGCTTCATTGGGATTCAATTCCTCAGTAAAGCTGCTACAAATTGGCAACTTGTCCTGCATGATCATCTACATGATTTTATCAATTTAGTCTTTGTTAAAATGGCATGAATTTGACAGGCTTAATGCCTTTTTAATTCAGAAAAAAAAAAGTTTACTTGAATCTAACAAGATTGAGAAACTATTTTCTTCTCTGTCAGAAAAAGATGAGAGTAAAGTACTTGTTTTACAAATCTGAATTGCTGGTAGTAAAAAATAAATATGAACAAATTTGAGTTTTTTTTGGCAATAATTACTCTAGCAAGGACCTGGGATTCAAGTGTGGAAGTGTGATTATATCACTAGAAATCAGATCATGAATTGTTTGATGATGAATCGAAGTGCTAATATAGCTAAACATTACCAGTCAAGACAATTTTTTTTTGGCCAACTAACTTGTGCAACCATCTTGGATCCGAGTTTTCGACTATGTGTTCTTCTAATCTTCAGTATGTTTCTAGCTTTATCAGTTTCCTATCCTAATCTGTCTTTTAAATATATCTGAGCTTCACCTATTTGTTGTAAATGCCAAGTTATGGATAGTAAATGTCCTTATGACCTAGCCAATTGATATTCACAGAGAAATAGGTTTAATTGGTCATTCTGATGAAGATTATACAAGTGATGGTTACTAACAAAAATGCTTAAAATGTTACATGTTCATGTAGCAATATTCTTGACAAAGGAATCCACTTTAGTTCTGCTTGGGTGCTGTAGTTGTGATTATGTCCTTAATTTATTAGTGATAAATTATAGTAAAGTACATCATGATCATACATCATCCACTTTGAATCTCAATCATGATGGACCTACCTGCAAAATCTGTCCAGATATCAGTGTTATTTTACATGCTTGACTTGAAAACTTAATCAGCATATCTGTGCAAATAATGCTCTTTCAAGCGTGAGTCTAACAGTATAAATCAGTAATCGAGCAACGGATCTCATCAAACAAATTTCTATCTTTCATCACTTATCAAGTATATAATTATTGTGGTTTAAATGAATCTCTGGGGCATAGTTTTGATCAAGTTTATTATTCACCACATACATGAGGCCTGTTATATGGATGAAACTGTGTTATCTTTCATTTCAGATGGTTGTTTTGATTGGTGGTCCTGAAACATCTCAAACTTCAAATGGAAAACAAGCACAACCCTATGCTGATGCACACAAGCCAGTCACTGGCAAGAAAAAATTGGTAAAGAGGCTTCTACTTCTGCTTCTACCTTGTTCTTGAACACATCTAGTTGTAGATACCTTTCAGAAGCTTGCAAAGACATGGGTATTCATCCAAGTTTTCTACTTCAGGCAGGAAATGGATAGTAGAAAGCTTTTTTGATCCTTCTGTGGAGGCCTTGATTTGATGAGAGAGGCTTGATTGTAAAGATGCTACTGGAACTAGTTGATACTTAATGCTACTAAAGGATGCAGAATAGTTGACACCATGTAAAGATAATTTGATCAGTTTGAGCATATGCTTGTAATGAATTGTGTTACTGCCTCTATGATTAAGGAGAATAATACTTCTTAGCAGAAGATACACAGATGTTATAGTGTTTAGTTCAGGTTTAAGAATGGTTGATTTGGTGATTGTTGGTTTAACATACCAATTATCTTGCAAACCAAATAAGAAGAAAGATTAAAGTCAGATAAACAGTTAGGATAAATTAACCTAATTATTTTATGCTCAACAGTTAGCATATGTCGATATTGGTACATGTACTCTCATTAGTGTTAATTACACAAAAGAGAAACGAAAAAGGATAAATTATAAAAAAGCAACCCAAGTTTCACTCTTTTTTTATTACATGAAAGAGAAAAAAAGATAAATTCTAAATCTTTTTTTTTTAGAGAGAGCATTTGTTTTTGCTTTATTCCCGCCCATTGTTTTTTATTTTTTAAAATATGATATTACGCCTAGCCTCTACTCGGTCGATCTGACGCCTCTACCTCATCGATTCATCGCCTCTGCCTCTCGTCTTTCATTCGTTACTTTTATCTCTGTCTCATTGCTTCCTCTATGCATGTCCACCTCTCCATTGGATCTAGACACCACCAACACTTTCATCATCGTAGTAAGAGCGACTTCCACCATCGCAACTCCATCTTCACTTCTTCTCTATTAGTCGACCTCTTTCTCCCCATCGTCATGATCACTATTGCCCTTGTCTTGCCTCCTCTCCCCATTCACAAGCTTCATGATTGGACTAATCATGTCATGGTGATGGAAGCATAGTTACTTAGTTTGATAATGAATTGATTGTGTAAAAATCTAATGAACGATATGGTAGTATGAGCAATGAGATAGAGGCGATAGACGAGAGCCTGAAAACTAAGTTGAGGGATAATTTAATCTTTTAAAAAATAAATTTTTTTATCAACGGAAAAAAAAATACTATTGAGATTATGAAAATATATTCCCTGACATCATCATACCATCATCCATCTAATCCGTGTGCGTAATAAGCCGCTATGTTTGAAATTTCAAATTCCGCCCCCCTTTAAGATTCGTGACCCCAATGACTTGTTTCCACCTGATCGTTCCCTATTTCCAGATCAAATCATAGCCGTCAAACCTTTCACTGGCATTATATATCACGCTCATCGGAGGAGCGGATCTTATCTCTCTCTCCTGGTCTGTGTGACGCTCTCCCCCATTCTAGGGTTCGTTCGACTCTTTCCTCTTTGTCCCCACATCTTTAGTCTTTGTATCGGTCGTTTCTCTTCGATAGAATGGTAATTCAAATCGTATGTGGTGATCTGATTTGTTTTTCGTCCTGTCTATGGTGGAACTTCTCGCAGTGCGATCGATCGAGGCGGAGAAGTTGGAGCGGAAGGAAGATCGAAATGGGTCAGATCCAGTACTCGGAGAAGTACTTCGATGACACCTTCGAGTACAGGTATTCGTCGCGTTCCCTTGTAAACCCAGTTTCTACGAAAACTGTTGCAGTTCTCGTTCAGATGCCTGTCGATTTTCGCTATAAAACCGCCCGATCGTTCTTTCTTCGAGTGTAGGCACGTGGTGCTCCCTCCGGAGGTGGCCAAATTACTCCCCAAGAACCGTCTCCTCTCTGAGGTTAGCAATCTCGCTCCTCTAATACTAGGGTTTCATCAAAATCATTTTCCCCACTCAAAACCCTTCAACAAAGATTCAAATGCTCATCGAGTGGGTTGTGATGCGCGTACCAGAACGAGTGGCGGGCGATCGGGGTGCAGCAGAGCAGGGGATGGGTGCACTACGCGATCCACCGCCCGGAGCCGCACATCATGCTCTTCCGGCGGCCGCTCAACTACCAGCAGCAGCAGGAGAACCAGGCCGCCGCCGCAGCTCATGCTGCCCAAGTTCTCCCCAAGTGATGTACTATTACCAGCAGTAATAACAGTGCAAGAAGAAGAAGAAGCCCTCTTCTCTAATCCTTATGGTTGTTGAACTAATCGGAAGTAGTTTGTCTTGGTTTGCTACCACTACTTGTGAAATGGCAGTTCTAATTTGCCTTTTCGTCCCCTTAATTCCTCTTTTCTTCTCCCTTCTTTTTCGTGCTTGAAATCTCTTTCATAAAATGGTCGCTCGGTGTTCAATCTCTTGAAATCTCTTACAAAGACTCGAAACATAATATTTTTTAAATTAATATAACTAACGTAGAAGATGATGTCTCCTGAGCTATCACAAACTTTACATAATCTTAAAAACATTAAATCATTATAGCAAACATAAGAAAATTATTTTTCATATTTTTCTCTTCAGTTTATCTCGTTTTATTATTTATCTATTTTTCATCATTTTATGTCATCTTCCATGATTAAAAGGTGGAGGAGGAGGCCAAAAAAAAGAAAAGAGAATGGAGGAAAGGATTGAATTTTTTAAAACAATTAAATTATAAATAAAGAAAATTTATGTCTATTTTAGAAGGGATGATATAAAAATATTCAAAGTACTTACGGATTGTAAATATAAAAAAATTATAAATAGTAAATTTTTTTCGAGAAGTCATCCGATATAATTATAATATAATAAAACTACGAATTTTCAGTCCTACTCGTTACAGGTCCTCCACGTATTAACAGCACCGATGGTTCAATAGCGGGGCCCGCTGGATCCCAGCTTTTAGCAATCATGAGACAGGTAACACAATGGGTGCTTCGGGTACTGGTGGAAAAGGGATAACGCTAACCCTTTTCCCAGGCTTTCGAGTCTCTTATTCCGGCCGATCCTCTCGACTCCTCCCGACGCCTGATATCTACTTCGTCCGGCGATTCCTCTCTCAATCGGCGGTGCGATTAACGAGTGTAAATTTGAGGTAATCACTGTTTCTTCCCTGGTTCTTGCTTTCCCCCCCCTCTTTGATACGCTGCTCCTTTTACCATTGTCAAAAGCTTGGATGTGTTCCTGTAGAGGAAGAAGGCAGGGGCAACTTATACTAAGATTGCATGGTAGCATTGATGACTTATTTTTGTTTAGATTCGAATGGAATCAGTTGAGGAGAAAAAAAGGAAATTTTGATAGGTAATACTGTTAAAGACATACCGAGAAGCAGGAAGGGTGACAGATCGTAGCTACATCTGTTGGTTTAGAGGTGTTGGTGGCGAAAATTAGGTCGATGTCCATGGGAACACTTATTCTAGTCTGAATCTACTTTATGCAGGTTCAATTATCTTTTAGCATTTTGATTGAAACAGCAACGAATAAGCGTTTCTAGGGTTTCTGTTCTTGTTTACAAGACGTGGAGAAAGCCCCAAATCTAAATCATTGCCACATTACTTTAAAAATATCTGGCAGGAGGTGGAGAAGAAGGGAATGCGGCTTGATTAACATTAATCTAACCTATATCCAGGTGCATAAAACGTTCTTCTTTGTATGCTTTGCATAGAATATCTTACACCAATTTTAATCTCAAGGAAAAAAATGTTGTAGTAAATTCCATCCATTTAAACAGAGTGATGTTCCCATATGTAGTGGACGCCATATCTATTCTTTATTGGTATTAGTATCTCTTTCTATCTCTCTGTTCATTTTTCATTCTGTTCGCATCTCTTTCTAATAGTTTTCTTTTGTTCTATCCATGCTGCTTTCCTGTAATTCTCTATTGCTATTCTTTTGTTGCCTCCTACTCTATATCTGTCTGCAGATGTTTTGGACACCATTGAATGGTATCAAAACCTAATTTGTTTCATTCTTTAGATTGTTTTTTTTTCATAATCTTCTATTCTTACTACATCTATTTTCCCTGAGATGGGCACCTCAACTTGTGGCTTGTGCCTAATGCAACTCAGTGTCCTTAAGCGTTTGATAACTTTGATAAGATGTATCCTAAAATTTAGCTGGTAATGCATTTATTGACAAAATGCTAGTTGCAAATTTGTTATTATCGTACCAACATCATTCTGTTGATCAGCTAGCTGTAGATGTTAAACCATCCCAATATAATGGGTTAATCAAATGCAAGTTTTCCTTTAGGTCTATTAGCCCTTGAGGCACCTGTAACACACCAAGAATACTCTTACTATAAAATTGGCTAATTTTGTAGTGAAAATTATAATATTTTCACTTTCCTTGTAAACTCTCAACTTCGTTACTCTTAAGCAGCTACAGGTGCAACCATGGCATGACTAATTTATAAAGATGTGTTAAGAGCAAACTCCTGATGTGCTGAAGATTGTAAAACAGAGAATTGAGAACATCCAGTAGCTGTTGGCGGTATTATCAACTTGCCTCTTTTGTGTTGATCTGGTACATCATAAAACAAAGGTATTTTCTGTTATTTTAAACTAAAACTCCACTCTTTTTGGTGCTACTAATATTGTAAGACACTGTTAATCAGATTCTTAAGGATGTGAGTTGTTGTAAAGAGGTTCCACATTTCTGATAACTGTTTGTAGATAAATATCAGCTCCAAGTTCTTATTATTAGGCTCTTTTAATTTGTGATATGTGGAATCTCCCCTACATTTTAAAGTAAATTCAGGCTTATGTTGTTGTTTGCTATGTACACTCAATATGCGAAACTGACACTCATTTTTTCACAACTTTTGCACTTGCATTTGACAACTGGTTTTGTTTTTAGCCAAACCCATTGCAAGTCTTTGGTACCCACCACCATCCTGTCCCACTATCTCCCATATTCTTATGCAGTATACTGATATTTTTGGTCATTTCTTATGAGAATTGATAGCTATTATTGATGAAGTATGTTACTTCCATGTAAATTGCAGCAAGTTATTCTCTCAGATTACTTTGCCCTGCTTTGCTTGTTGATTGTATGCTGGTATTTCCTTTTCCTTTTCGTTTTTTCTCATGGCATGTATCTTGACAGAAAGTTTGATATGGGGACATTAAATCCTTTGTGGTTCTTCATGAAGAAGTCTATGACAGTGGCTCTGTTTGGTATAACAATTTCTGACAGATATGCCACTGTTTATTCTTTAACGGGTACATCTATGAGTCCCACATTTACAACAAGCAGTCCTGGTTTTCCTGGATATTTGAAAGGTATATCCTTTGTGAAAGCAATACAAGCAAAGAATGATCAAATGTTCATTGGTTATGTAAAAAGGAATCTGTCAAAACTGATCCGTAGAATGATCACAGGTGATATTGTGCTGGTTGAAAAGTTCTGTCTTGAAAAGTATAAATTTTCACGTGGGGATGTAATTGCCTTCAAGTAAGTTATTTAGAAGCATGCTGTAGCTTTTATTCTTAACTACCTTTTATTTGGAATGACACAACTAGAGCTACCTATTTGCTTGGCTTCTATATGTATTGTCAATTAGTTTGCATCATATGGGAAGTTGAGTGGTTGTATGGATGAAACTATGGGAAGTTTGAGTGGTTGTGCATCAGCATAGGGTTGTGCTTGTTTTCCAGTTGAAGTTTGAGATGTTGCAGGACCACCGATCAAAACAACCATCTGAAGTTTGAGATGTTTCAGGACCACATTGTAAGACTTCTTTTAGTTTTGTGATCTTATATTCTTCGTTTGATGTTTTGCAGATCCCCGAGTGATCACAAACGGGAATTTGTCAAAAGACTAATTGCATTGCCTGGTGATTCGATGCAAATTCCAGATACATCTGATATACTGAAGATTCCAGAAGGTCATTGCTGGGTTGAAGGTGACAATAAAGAATTTAGTTTGGATTCGAGACATTTTGGCCCTGTGAGTTGCACATTTCTTTTCTCTTTTTATTTTTTCGCAATTTATGGATGATTCATACTCTATTGCTGGCGTCTCCATTGCCAATCAAGCTAAACCTGTGAAGTTAACCACTAGATTTTAGGCATCTTATTAGCACTCCTGACCTACTTAGTGTAGCAAAAAGACCTTCACATGGTGAAACTGGGTGGACCTCTATTTATTGAATTAGTGCTGCAATGTTTTGGTCAAATTTCTACTGGTTTTTTTAACTAATCACAACGATTACCTTCCACTGTTTTCCTTTCTTTCAAAAGATAATCCTTCAAGGTTCTGCTTTTTAATAGGGTTGAAACATATTATTGGGTATAGGCCTTTGTTAGGAGCAGTTTTCCTCTAGATGCCTTTGTACTGACACTTGCAATATTGTTATTTGCACAAGCAGTCTAAGCATGTTCATTGGGACTACGAGGCACTAAAATCCACCATTTACCTGATGCAATCTGTCCTTCTTGCCCTTTTTATTATGTGTATTCATGTATAAGCATTCTGCTTGCCCTGTGCTTCACTATGCAGGTACTGTAGCACTATGCATTTGGTAATGTGCCCTGCCAATGCATGACAACAGTAATATTTTTTGTATTGATTAACCAAAAGTAACTGAGCTAAACAAAGTAATCTCTTTTACGAGTGCTGCAGACTTCAATAACTTAGTAAGAATGCACAAACTACAACTGTAGAGAAACACATACATTTGAATAGTTAAGAATTGTTGGAGTGATGGACTGTGAATTTAATGAAGAAGACAAAGAATATGTAGTCTGACATCAATCCATATTTCAGAACTTGAATCTATGAGATAGTGATGTTTAGGTCCTTAATTCTGACTGGACTGTGGAGCTGGATCATAAAGATCACCTTTGAGTTACATCAATTTCCATAATGACAATTTTTCAGGGTTCTTTCATAATTTTGGCTGAATTTGTTCTTTTGGAAAATGGAAAATAGATTATCCTCCTTAGAGGGACATCTGTTTCCATGATGACACTTGAAGATACTAAAATTAGGCATGCAATGTTTCTGCTGGAAGATGGATAATTAACAATCCTGTCGAGTGGACCAATTATAATAACCTAGTTGCACTGGGAGATAACAGAGAAAACCTTGCACCGAAGACTCATTCATGGCAGCATTAAAAGATCATATACAGTCTTAATGATCTACATGCAGTTTTAATGTTCCAAGGCTTTTCCAATGCTCCAATACTATGATCTTTTGCTCTAAGCTGTTAAGGTAAATTCGATCATTGTCTCATCACAAACAAGGACTGACAAATTTACCTGTGTTGCAGATTCCTTTGGGCTTAGTTCAAGGGAGAGTGACACACATTATTTGGCCGCCACAAAGAATAAGTAAGGTAGAGAGAAAGGTGGCAATGGAGAGAGTCAGATCAACTTAATTTTGTTTTACAAGGTTTCCTCCTCTCCTTATGATTCATCATATTTCTAGACCTGCAATTTGCAAGATGCAACAAGTATTATTCTGCAATAGAAATCCTAATTTCTGTGACCTTGTTTATGTTAGATTTGGTAGATCCCCACCACACTCTGGTGTTAGATTTGGTAGACAAAGATGCCCAATTGCGTGAACCCTAACCTTGCCAAATCCAGGCTTCCTCCAACAGGGTTGCATGCCCAATTCTGCAGATGTTACCCAGCAGAGGAGCAGGGTTTGCTTCTCACTTACTCCATCTCATGGAATTGCAGTTTATGGCCATCTCTTGTCCCCTCTATGCTGATGACCTTCTAACAGTGGAAGGTAATCATCGTTGCTACAAGGAACAGCTTTACTTCCGAGCTTAGGATTAGAGGGTGGGGATTGCCTCAGTCTGGCTTTGTCCCTTCCGTGGACGTTCATGTGACCCCCGAGAGCCTGAGCTGACTTGAACTCCCTCCTGCAGAAGCTACAGCAATACGTCCTCGAAGGCCATGTGAAGCCCCCTCTTCGTAGTTGGCTGTACGTCCATGGCTTCTTCTCCTTATCCTTGCTGTCCCTGGTAGAGTTGGCTGTAGCATTCTTCTCCATGCGTCCAACCTGCAATGATAAGTCATTTCTCACCTGAGAGGCAGCGGTTTCTCTTTCCTCTTTAATACGAGTATGGTTGTCGCAGAAGTGCCCATCAAATTCCAACTCCGAAACCTTCAAATATCTGCGACCATAACTGGGGAAACACTTGGCAGAACTGGCTTCGGGCCGCCTGCCACCTGATGCTCCTTGCTGCATTTATTTGTTAGCACAATGTTCCAACGAGCGTTCTTGGAGCTCTTCGCGTAAGAGAGAAGGCATTGTTCTGATGATATGACTGCAGCGAATGTAAATGTGTAGCAATTTACTATTTATAATTTTTTTTTATATTTACAATCCGTAAGTACTTTGAATATTTTTATATCATCCCTTCTAAAATAAACATAAATTTTCTTAATTTATAATTTATTTTTAAAAAAAATTCAATCCTTTCCTCAATTCTCTCCTTTTTTTTTCCCTCCTCCTTCACCTTTTAATCATGGAAGGTGACATAAAATGATGAAAAAAATATAAATAATAAAATGAGATAAACTGAGGAGAAAAATATGAAAAATACTTTTCTTATGTTTGCTATAATGATTTAATGTTTTTAAGATCATGTAAAGTTTATAATAGCTGGGCAAGCAAGATTACAGGGAAAGAAAAAATAAAATTAAAGGAGTTATGAATAGTAAAATATTATATTATTAATTTCTTGAGGGAAGGGATTGTGAATAATAAGGCCTCTAAATAGCAAGCTAAAAAAATCTCTTTTTAGATTTTTACCACAGTGCACTTTTCAAATATTGAATCGTTTCAAATCAATGAATCATTTGTCATTGCTATGGATCAATCTAATCCTCTACTTCTAAAACCTAAAAATAAATCGTGTTGTTCCTCTTTCTCCTCTCTCTGAGGCAAAATGAAGAGAGAAAGAATACACCCAAATAAAAATTATGACAAAAATAAAATAAAGAGCGAAGCATTACCTATTACCTGTGTTGATACCATGCAATTGTAGCTTTTATTGATAGAGAAAAGATGACGATAGAGGCAATATGAGGTAAGTAACGTGAGAGAAAGCATGAATCGATATATTCAAGGCCGAAGGGAGATAATCGAAGACGAATATTAATGACCAATAAAACTAAATGGGTATAGCAAGGAGAGAAGCATCGTATGAATCATGGAATCTGTGCCATATTCCTATTTTTATTTGACATCGTAATAGGATAGAAAAATCGATATAATTATATAATTATATACGATTATTTTATAGCGATCTTGGATTTCAACATTATACAAAGCACCATGTGAGATTAGTTCCCTAATATTATTAGAATTCCTAATAAACACTTGTTTCTCTTTTGCACAGGTCACCTATACATCCCAATAATCCGATCCATCAAAGTTCCAAGCAATTTAGATCCAAACAAGAGGGCATGGAGCTATCACCGTTACTCGAACACCGATCACTCTGGTCGTGCAAATGCTACCACGACTCTCAAAATGAGGAACAAATTTCAAGAGATTGAACACCGAGCGACCATTTTATGAAAGAGATTTCAAGCACGAAAAAGAAGGGAGAAGAAAAGAGGAATTAAGAGGACGAAAACCCAAATTAGAACTGCCATTTCACAAGTAGTGGTAGCAAACCAAGACAAACTACTTCCGATTAGTTCAACAACCATAAGGATTAGAGAAGAGGGCTTCTTCTTCTTCTTCTTCTTCTTCTTCTTCTTCTTGCACTGTTATTACTGCTGGTAATAGTACATCACTTGGGGAGAACTTGGGTAGCATGAGCTGCGGCGGCGGCCTGGTTCTCCTGCTGCTGCTGGTAGTTGAGCGGCCGCCGGAAGAGCATGATGTGCGGCTCCGGGCGGTGGATCGCGTAGTGCACCCATCCCCTGCTCTGCTGCACCCCGATCGCCCGCCACTCGTTCTGGTTCGCCCATCACAACCCACTCAATCAGCATTTGAATCTTTGTTGAAGGGTTTTGAGTGGGGAAAATGATTTTGATGAAACCCTAGTATTAGAGGAGCGAGATTGCTAACCTCAGAGAGGAGACGGTTCTTGGGGAGTAATTTGGCCACCTCCGGAGGGAGCACCACGTGCCTACACTCGAAGAAAGAACGATCGGGCCGTGATATAGCCAAAATCGACAGGCATCTGAACGAGAACTGCAACAGTTTTCGTAGAAACTGGGTTTACAAGGGAACGCGACGAATACCTGTACTCGAAGGTGTCATCGAAGTACTTCTCCGAGTACTGGATCTGACCCATTTCGATCTTCCTTCCGCTCCAACTTCTCCGCCTCGATCGATCGCACTGCGAGAAGTTCCACCATAGACAGGACGAAAACAAATCAGATCAGCACATTCGAT